CGTAATAACAGGAAGCATTTATTAAGCGTTTCGGAATTGTCATAATTCCATCATCAGTAATCTTGAGATACAAAACAAACAAACAATATTTGCAACTACAACAGAAATATATACATAAGAAATAAACAGCTCAAATATACAAATATAACACAAGAAAATGAAAACATATTTGTATATTCGAGTTGTTTATTTCTTATGTATAGATTTCTGTTGTAGTTACAAATATTGTTTGTTTGCTTTGTATCTCAAGATTACTGATGATGGAATTATGAGATTCCAAAACGTTTAGTAAATGCTTCCTGTTATTACGTTTGTGTTGTTTTTTTTATCATTAAGCTACGTTTTCCGACGATTACTAGTATACTTCTAAGACGATACTGAAATGATTGTCTCAAAACCTACAGGACTATAAAACAAAACAGTAAATCTTGAATTCCAGTTTTTTAACAGAATGCAAAACCCGGTCATTAACTGCAAAGTTTCTTCAGTTCAAACTCGCTAATAGAAACCTTCAAAACTCAATAGCATGCTGCAGTTGTCCAAAGCATTTACTTGATGAAGTTAGATGGAAACACTGACACAGATATCACCTCTCATCTAAGCTGAATTCATCTCTAATGTCACTTTCCAACTTTACATCCTGGCTGGACTTTAACCACCTTTTGAATCTTATCAACTGAAGTAATGAGAAGAAAAGTGCTAGACACGAACACATACAGAATGTTAAACTAAGGAAACTTTCTAATAACATAACTCACAGAAAGATCTCCCCTGACCAAGTCATCTTCAACTACAGCAACATCATTTTAAGTGATAATCAAAAAACTGCACTTGCCAAAGGATAAAACTTCTCCATACCCTCCTCAAAACTCAATTATGCCAATTACATCTATCCCTGGGAATACCTGTACAACAATATAAAATCTTTACCTACTTCTTTCCAAGAATACTTCTGAACAAGCATGAGAAATATTTACTACTAAGTTAAAAACTTAGCACTCTCCACATTCTATAACTATAACACATGCATGATATCCTGAAATCTGAAGAACTGGCAGCTATCAAAGAACTCTACTGAAACAAAAATATCATCATCACCTGACTGGATAAAGGAAACAGAGTTGTTATCCTCAACAAAGTTGACTATGTTAAGAAAATGCTTGATATTGTTAACTACCACAACAAGTTCAAACTGATAAACAAGGAACCATTAACTCATACTTTACAACTTGAAGGGAAAACCCAGAGATTTCTTAGAAACCTAAGCTAAAGAAATATTATTTCTGATTGTGTTTACAATAATTTATATCCCACAGGCTTTCAATCTGGAATATATGATCTGCTGAATATTCACAAACCAGACACCCCCCTCTGACCTATACTTTCCACCTTAAGCACTCAGTTATAACATAGCTAAATTCCTTGTACCGCTCTTAAAACCTTTCACTATGAATGAATTTACAACACCTGACTCCTTCCAATTTTCCCGAGAAATCAGTCAACTCCTGCCCCCCTTAAAGATCACATGATGGCTAGCTTCGATATTACTTTTCTTTTTACTTATATTCACCTGGATGAAATCATTAATATTGTATTTTCTAATCTCTTCGCTAAAGATATTCTTATTAATAGATTTTCTACGTCTGATTTCAAATCTATGCTTGAACTCTCGACCAAAGACTCTCTTCTCCTCTTTAACAATACTCTATAAGAGCAAACAGATGATGTTGCTATAGTCTCCTACACTGGCCAACATTTTCCTCTGTTGGCACAAACAGAAATGGATTGATAATTGTCCGTTAACCTTCAAACCTGTTCTCTACAGAAGATATATTGATGATATTTTCCTTATTGATCATATCCAATGCTTTCTTGACTATCTCAATTCACAACAGCCCTCTATATACTTCAATCATGAAATAGAGACGAACAACTCTATTTACTTTCTGGATGTTCTTGTTAACCATGATGTTAACGGCTTTTCAACTTGTTTGTCTGTCGTAAAAACACATTTACCAGCCTTTTCACTCAGTTTGACAGTTTTATACCTTCTCTTTCAAATGT